TGACCATCTCAATAGATAAGGAAAAAGCATTGGGCAAAATTGAATGTCCTTTCATGGTAAAAACACTCAACAAAGTAGGCCTAGAAGGGATGCACCTCAATACAATGAAGGTCATATTTGATAAGCTCACAGCCAACGTCATACTGAATGGAGAAAACTTTAAGGCTTTTTCTCTAAGATCAGGAACAAGGGAAGAATAGGCCACTCCCACTTCTTCTAATCAGTAGAGAACTGGAAACCCTAGTCAGAAATCCCAGTCAGAGCAACAGGTAAAAGAAAGAAATAAAAGTCATCCAAATGAAAAGGAAGAAGTTAAATTGTCTGTGTTTGTAGAGGACATGATCTTATATGTATAGGAAACTCCTCAAGATTCCATCCCAACGCTGTTAAAACTGATAAATGAATTCAGCAAAATTACAGGATACAAAAATCAGTAACGTTTCTATACACTAACCATGAACTATGTGAAAATGAAATTTTTAAAATCTCATTCACAATAGCTACAGAAAATAAAAAAATACTCAGAAATAAGGGTAACAAGTGAAGTGCAAGATCTGAACACTGAAAACTACAAAATACCCTTGAAAGAAACTGAATAAGACACAAATAAATGGAACAATCTCTCATGTTCATAGATTGAAGGAATTAAAATTATTAAAATGATCATACTACTCAAAGCAACCTACAAATTCAACGCAATCCCTACCAAAATTCCAACAACATTTTTACATTAACAGAAAAAATAATCCTAAAATTCATATGGAACCACAGAAGATCTGAAGAGCCAAACATTTTGAACAAAACAGAAAAACAAAGCTGTAGACATCACAGCATCAGCAGGACTGTAATACCCAAGATGGAGAGTAATCCCAGGATTGAGAAATGTTTCCAATACAAATGTAGGTCAACTTTAACTTGCCTCTGGCAGATGGGAGCCACAGTTGTAGCTCAAAGTGTCCAGTGCAATTCTATCACATCTTGCTCACTTACTAGCTCGGCAGAATCAATATTTGGTGCATTTTGAGTTGTGCTTCTCATTTGTGTTGTGTGGGTATCAAGGGTAGCATGGGGGTAGCACAGGAACTTGGTTCCCAGAGGAACCTTGGTTCCATTAGTATCTGCCTCACCTCCGAAGATATGAATATGTTACAAATGCAGAATCTTGACAATCATCTCAACTCTACCAAATTAGAATCTGCAAAGAAAATCTCCATATACACCTTAAAGTTGGCAAAGCTTTAAGCTTCTTAAAACTGTTAAGTTTAAGAAGAGAGATGATAGCTATGCAGTGGGCAGAGTAGGGTCAGTCCCTAATTTCTACCTGAAATATCCTTGTCCGAGATTCTCCATTAATTTAGAGATACCATTTCATCCCTTATGAGTAAAGTCTACAGCATCTTTTTTACCCTGAACTCACTTGATCAGCAGCCTTAATTATTTCAACTATGGCCCAGACATAGGAATAAAAAAAAAAAAAAAAAAAAAAAAAAGAACACTTTAGGCATAGATGCCTTAACAGCTACATATCACAGATTGTATTATACACATTAACAAGATCTCAGACCCTTATAATGCCAGTAAGCTTAGTGCTGTGGATCCCTGACCACAGAGGATTGGAAGCAGCAAAGCAAGGCAAAGGGAAGGAAGTAAAAATGCAGTTGGGATGAAGTTTACAATAAGAATTGATGGTAGAAAGAATAGCTTTGACATGTTCATGGTTATTTAGATTTATAAATCTATGCACACATCAAAAACAGTTCACTCAGATCTTAGAGAAATTATACTCAATCCTGGCTACTTATTAGAATCACCTACTTTTCTCAAGCCTCAATCTCAGGGATTCTGATCTAATTGGTTTGGAGTGGGTGCAGGTATTGTATTAAAGTTTCCCAGGTGATTCTTAGTGGTTTAGGGTCAGTCACAGAGGCCTAAACACCTGAGTAGCCTCTAAGTAGGCTCTTCCCAGCTTGCTACAATCATTGACAATCAAGGATCCCAGGTTGAGTAGGATGACCTTGGTTACCAGGATTTTTTTTTTAAAGAGGAAAATACTCTATATATTAGAGGTGATTTTGACAGAAAATAAGATAGCCTAGAACTAAATGATACATAAACACCAATATAAGTCCTGTGTCATAGTCGGAGAAACCTAGAAGGCACTGGTGGGAAGAATCAGACACTCCCCATCTCTCCCTCCTGACCCTCCCCCCATAGCCCAAAATGTACCATGCCCATGAATCACCTGGGGGTCTCATTCCAATACAGACTCTGACTCAGTAGGTCTCGGGGGGAGGCTTCAGAGTCTGCCATTCTGATGAGCTCCAGATGATGCTACTGTAGCTGCTTCAGGGACCACACTGGGAGTCAAGGTCATCCTGATGGTCTTGACTACCCCTCAACCCTGTGTTTGGAACCCAAACAAGAAGAATGACTTCCAAGAATTCCACCGGGGTCCTTGATCCAGAGCCACTGTACCCAAAACTATAGGCTTTCCTGAACTAACATCATATATTTTGTTCATCTCTTTACTTAACTGTTCCTACCTCTAGGCAATGTTATGGGAGGACTGGGGACTATTGAGTTAGAAACTGGCTTACAGCACATGTAGTTTGCCCATTTGTTACAAAAGTATGGCACTGAGGCCAAGCTGGCGAAGGATTTACCAAGTTCACAGGTGACCATGACAAAGGCAAAACTAGATCTAAGTCAGGACATGAAGGCATCCGTTAAAGATTCTATCAAAATGATTGCTTCCTGTAGCTTTCTGTATGAAACGTCCATTTGCTTATCCTCAGGGAAATCACAGACTATTAAGATTCAGAAAGGGGCTGGGCACGGTGGCTCACCCCTGCAATCCCAGCACTTTGGGAGGCTGAGGCAGGTGGATCATGAGGTCAAGAGATCGAGACCATCCTGGTCAACATGGTGAAACCCCGTCTCTACTAAAAATACAAAAAATTAGCTGGGCATGGTGGTGCGCGCCTGTAATCCCAGCTACTCAGGAGGCTGAGGCAGGAGAATTGCCTGAACCCAGGAGGCGGAGGTTGCGGTGAGCCGAGATCGCGCCATTGCACTCCAGTCTGGGTAACAAGAGCGAAACTCCGTCTCAAAAGAAAAAAAAAAGACTCAGAAAGGAAACAATTTGAAAGCTAGGCTGATGGCCTTTATAGCCCTTCAACAGGGCAGATAACATGCCACAGAAGCTGAGAGATCTCTGAGACTATGCAGTAGCGACTGCTTCCCCTCTTGTGGAACGTTCATGAAAAAAAGCTCAAGGGCTCTATAAGTTGCCCAGTGAACTCCACAGTCATTTTATTTCATTTTCGTTTCTTGGAACCCTTTCTCAGATAATTTTTAAAATCCCACACAATAATGATATATATTCTTGCTCAATATTAAGAAGCCCTCATGCAAAATTGAATAGTTTTTACAAAAGAAGGAAAAAGGAATTCTATTCCCAGAACATTCTGCTTTCCCAGACACAACGATCTGATTCTTGCTCCATTGTTTGTAGCCTTCTGGGTCCTAGAGCCACTGATGGGGCTGGGTCAGTGGCCACATTGGCTCCTGGGGACCCCTTCCCTGGCCAAAGTCCATCTTAGCAGCACTATTTTAACTGGACTTGTTATTTCTTACCTCAAAGCTGTGGCCTGGGATGAGACCTCCCCAACAGAGCTTGTGACGTTTTCATCTTGCTCTGTAGCTATCCGGGTCTGAAGTCAAGAGCCATTCACAGGAAAATCAGTCTGAAACCAGTAAGTTTGCGTATTAAATATTAACAGCACTAAGGGCTACAGTGGAAAAAAGGTTTGCTGGGCTCAAGGACCCTCACTCCACCCCTAACTTCCCTCTGCTTTTCTCTTCTATTTTTGTGTTCCTGGTAAATTCCCTTATATCTCAACTATCTTAGGCCACCTCAGCCCCTTCTTGGGAATTAGGTTGTCTGGACAGGCAAAGAGGCAGATACCCGGCTGCCAGGTGAATCAGGTGTCCTCATCAGGTCTCTTCATATCCACTTTTGTGACATTTCAAAGAATCACAAATTATTTTATTAATGCCTAGCCAGAGAGATGGGAAAGAGCTAGAAGGAGGCACTGAACTCCATCCCGTGGTGATGTTTGAATCAGGCTAGAGCTGGTTTCACCTGTTTCTCATGCTTACTTTCTTAATTGCCTCAGTGGGAATGCGTTACTGCAAAATAAAGCGAATTGTTTTCCTTAGTGCTTCTAATTTACAGAGAGATGGTTTTGATCATATAAACCAGGTACTTTTCAAATCCACTGATCTTAGGGTGGAAGGAGGGGTTTAAGTATTCATTTTGAACTATGCTTTCACTAGCAAATTCAAAGCCCAAAGGGAAACACCCATGTTTCTCCACCACATTTTGTAATACCTATTAGATGTCCACAGCATCACCGAGCCATAGAAAACGCATGCTTTGTGTATGGAAGACGAAGGGGGAGAGTCAAGAGTTGCACTTTGCCAAGAAATGTACTCTGACGCTTAAAGGCCCAGGCTGGGAGCGATCCAGAGAAGCTTGGAAAGCCCAGGCCTAGCTCAGGCCCGCGTGGGTCTCTTCTGCTCCCAGAAAATGTGGAAGGGGTCCCGGCTCTGGGCATCCTGGTGTCGACTGTGAGTTCCCAGCAGAGGCCCAGACTCCGGGGTCCCGCAGCGGAGGGAGCGGCGGGGCCTCCCAGAAGAAGAAGGGGCCACCGTCACCCCAGGTGCCTCTCTAGCAGCGGAGAACGGCAGTCGGGGTCGCCGCGGGCCTGCTGGGCCCAGGTCTGCGTTCCCAGGCGCTGCCAGCGTTCCAGGGAGCAAGTCAGGCTGCGTGGGACCCTCACCTGCCACCACGACCCCCACGAGCCCCGCCCCATCCTGCCTTACGCCCTGCGCCAAGGTCGTCGTCCCGCCCCAGAGCCCCGCCCCAAGGCCGTCCTCCCGCCCCGCCGCTGGGTGGCGACCGCAAGCTGCCTTGCTATAAAGCGTGGCCCCATCGCCCAGGGACCAGCGAGCTACCTGGAGAGACTCTGGCTCTTGCTTTTTAGAGAATCCGAGGGAGCCATGGCCCAGGAGCAGTTACGCAGGGAGTCAGTCACCGACCACCCGGACCGCCTGTGGATCTGGGAGAAGTTCGTGTATTTGGATGAGAACCAGCGCACCTGGCTGCCCTTAGTCATCAAGGTACAGCCCGCTTTGGAGCGGATGGTGAGGCAGCAGGGGCAGCCCCAGGAGCTTGGGAGGCCCCAGGACGGGCGAGGCCTAGAGGAGCACCCACTTTGGGGCAGGGAGGCTCCCCACAGATGAAGCCACTTTGAGCCGGGTTCTGGGCTTTTGAACAGGAGTTCACCAGGCCGCGAAGAAGGGTGGGAAAACCACAAAGGAATGTCGACCAAAGGATGGGACCTGTGAGTGTGACTATAATGTTGACTACAGCAGGACGTTTCTGGGCTTCGGGGTCCTAATCCTTAAAATGGGTATTTCTAAAGTAAGTGACTCATTCATATGGCCAATCATCGGAATCATCTTAGGCGGGTCCCAGAAATCTGTATTTTATAAAGAACTTTCAACAGCTTAGGGTCATAGCAACCACTGCGCTGGAGTGTGAGGTATTTCCTATTTCCTCTGTGCTTTATTAAGAAGAACAAATTTAGGTCAGGCGCGGTGGCTCACGTCTGTAATCCCAGCACTTTGGGAGGCCGAGGCGGGTGGATCACGAGGTCCAGAGATCGATAGCACCCTGGTCAACATGGTGAAACCTTGTCTCTACTAAAAATACAAAAAAATTAGCTGGGCATGGTGGCACGCGCCTGTAATCCCAGCTACTCAGGAGGCTGAGGCAGGAGAATTGCCTGAACCCAGGAGACGGAGGTTGCGGTGAGCCGAGATCGCGCCATTGCACTCCAGCCTGGGTAACAAGAGTGAAACTCCGTCTCAATTAAAAAAAAAAAAAGAAAAGAACAAATTTAACGAGTCTAAGCACCAGTATTGAATCAGTATAGGCTTTGTTTCATATGTGATACCTTAAAATGCGTCTTTAGGTCATGTTACGTTTTTATTAAAGAACTATAACTCTTTTACAAGTATTTGGATTTACTCAATGAAATAGTCAAAAATATTCAAACTCTTTCCAAACATACACTGCAGAAAGTATACAAATTTAAAAATATATTAGAACATGTATGTAATACAATAGCAAACAAGAGTTATTGAGTGTTGACTGTGTCTCTACAGATGGGAAACTGAAGCACAAAAATATACATGTGCCCAAGGTAGGACTGCTAGTAGGTAACGGGGCTGGAATTCGAGGCTCTTCAACCACCAAAATGTGCACTTCTATTGGCATTTAAATTTTTTTAATATACATTTTTCTTTAAAAATCATGTCAAATGTTTACTTAAGTCAAAATTTGAAAAAATAATTTAAAGATTCAGTGAATTTCTTTTTTACAATGTCTGGTTGAGAAATCTCTTCTTCAACGTGACACCAAAATCACAAACTAGACAGTTTTTCACATAATCATGATAAATGGCACACAAAAAGTAACCCACTAGCAAACTGTGGGGCAGGGTTTGCCTCACACATTTGAAAAAGCCAGTATTCTTTTTCTCTTTTTTTTCTTTCGTCTTTTTTTTTTTTTTCTTTTTTTTGTAGAGACGGGATCTTGCTCTGTCACCCAGGCTAGTCTCAAACTCCTGGCCTCAAGTGATCCTCCTACCTCAGCCTTCCAAAGCACTGGGATTACAAGTGTGAGTCACTGCAACTCGCCAGAAAAAAGTGTGCCTTTCATGGCCCTTTCTAGGTGGCTAGACACGTGTGCATGCTGGTGGTCCTGGCCCAGCCAGAGTCCCTGTGAGGATCATGCATGGCTAAGGAAGTGAGGTTCAGGGGACAGTGATGACCAGCATTTCACACTCAGACCCCTCCCCAGCTGGGTGGGTGGCTGGCAGGAAGGACTCTGGTTTTCTGTGTCTGGAGGAGCCCTGGCAAGCGGATCCTGAAGGTGTGCCCTGTCCTTTTCTTCTTCTCAGAAGGAGGATAAATTACAGGTGTTCTTTCGTCAGGAAGTCACCCTCCTGGGGAAGCCTATGACCCCTACCCAGATAGGCCCAAGCCTGCTGCCTCTCATGTGGCAGCTCTACCCTGACGGACGATACCGATCCTCAGACTCCGGTTTCTGGCGCATAGTGTACCACGTCAAGGCAAGTGTGTTTCTCCCAGGGATCTATGGGGCGATCTTGGGTTTCCCCTCCTCAGTGCCTGGCCTCAGTGGTTTATCTTCCCTCCATCCCAGTGCCAAAAGCATTAAAAAATGGGGGAAATGTACAACTGTGGATTTCTAAAAGACTTTACCACAGAGAAGATAGCTCCTCTGAGGTCTCTAACAGAACCCTCCCTCTATTCCCTGCCAACCCCCAGCCTGGCCGCAGGAAGCCCCCTTTGGTGGGCAGTCACAGGCTGAAGGCTACAGGGAGGAGGGCAGTCTCCAAGAGCCCCTGAAATCCTCACACTCGGGTTCCCACCTGTTATTCCCAGCTAGGGGAAGGCACAGGAGTGAGAAATGGAGGGAGAGAAGGGCTCCGGCTGATCAGTGCCCTCTCTCTCTCTGCCTCTCAGATTGAAGGCCTGGAGGACATGCTTCTCGAGCAGCTGCCAGATGACTGAGTGTGGCATGGTGAGTTCCACTGGGACCTGACCCCTCTTAGTCCACAGTGGCTGTATCAGAAGGAAAGAGCACCCCTTCTCCGTGAGGGCAGTGCTAACCCCTCCCCGACTATTGCCTTCTGAGGGTCCTGGGATGGGAGAGGCTTCCTGGAGGCACTCATGTCTCTCCCTTACCACTGGGATCCAGGAGCTTCGCAGATGCATATGGCCACCTTAGCGCAGCTGCATGCATCTGTACAGGGCTTCACAAGTTGCGGCCAGCACTTTGTCAGTCGCTTTCTTAAATTATATCGACCAAGCCAGATATTAGATGGTGTTATTGCGTTCTGAGGAAGTGGTCTTCTGACCATAAGCCCTCTATCCTGTTCAGAGTTTGCCTTGGCTCAGACAGAAGGCCTCTGGGGCCATCACTGACCACCAGGCTTCCCACTCAGACTTGCTCCAGCGGCATCGCCCCTCACCCCTGCCTGGTCCTTTCCTTCACCCTTGACTCTGTCTTCTCTTGTCCTTTCCCAGGTCTTGCAGCACCCGTCTCCCTTCGCCCCAGGGCCTGCACCTGGCCAGTCCACAATGGGGAGATTCGTGGTTCTTTTCACCCTCGTTTCCTATGCCGGTGTCTGCTCCTCTCCACCATGCTGGGTTCTGGGAGGGAACAGGCAGACAGAGGATGAGCTCTACCCAGGGCCTGCTGGACCTGCCTGTGGCTCACTCTGCTCCCATCAGCACTACCACTCCTGCCAGGGAGGACTCCAGTTGGTAGAGCTTCTTCCAGGTGCCCAGTATACCTGTGCCTTCGCTTTTCTCAGCTGGCTGATGGTCTTTGGCCTCTTTCTGTCCCTTCTGTCCCTCACGGCACTAGTGCTTCATGTCACACACCCACTCAGCTCCTTCTGAGAAAACAGCCGACTCACCTGAGCAGGGCCTCTGAGACCCTGGGCCAGTGGTCTCACATGGGGCTGCACCTGCACACAAACACATCTGCAAACCTGCCTGCCAACACGGGTTCAGGGGCAGCTCAAGGAAAGGCCTCAAAGGAGCCCATATCTGTGCTCAGGACTCAGAAGCCTTTGGGTCAATGGTCCATAGCCTGGGACGCAGCATCAGGCCAGGCTGGTGAGCCCTGTGGACGAACCCCCAGAACCCTTAGCTGCCTACCTGGGAAAGGGATAGAGGTTGGGTTTCCCCACTTTTATAGATGACCACACACCTGGGTGTTACTAGGCTGTATGTGGCATGAATGCTTTTGTAATGATTGACTGATTAAATGCAAGATGATTTCTCTAACTTTGTGCTGAATCAGTGTCTGTCCTTGGCTTAGATTCTGGTGTAGAGAAGTAACAATAGGTAGCCACCAACGAAGAAATAAATATTCATGGATTTACTTATTTTACTTTGGAGATAAGGGACTACAGTTTTTTTTGTCCATGTAATCCAGTGCTTAAAACCCCAGTGTTCTTGGAGGCATATGTTGAGAACCACTGGAGTAAGCAACCTCAAAATGTTGTCAGCGATTCCTGGTATTCAAGAGCCCTTCCAATCTGCTCTGTCCTTGCACGGATACTTCTATCCTTTCTGCTCTCAATCCAGCAGGAGCCCCTCCTGCCTAAACTGTCCTTGACCACTCAGGCCCCAGGCAGACTCCCTTCCCCACGTCCCCTGACCTGCAGTCACAGCAGAGCCCACCTGGTGCCGTGTCCTCTTGCTCCCTTCTCAAGACCCGCTGTCGCTCCACAGATGGTAGCTGGACCTCAGATATTCCGGGGGGATGCCTTCCAGAGAATGGAATCTGTCTTATGGAGAATCCTGGCCCTCCCACTTGTGTCTAGTCCACAGCTTTCTTGTCACAGAGATGAACTTAAAGGGTCCTTCTGAGGATTCAGTGGGACATAAACCTCAAGTACTTTTAGAGAATTGTGTAAGGAAAACACTATTTCTCCCACTTTATAGTCTGGGTTAAGAAACCCAGGTTTCTTAACCAGCACTAGACAGAAGAAACTGGCACCCAACCTGCCAGGGTGTGTGTCTCTTGTTGTAACCCCGTCACCCAGCACGGTGCATGGCAGCCTGGGATTTCGGTCTGTGGGAGCAATTACAGTACAGATGCCTCTCGGCAGGGCCAAAACATGGAAAGTCAGAGCAGTGGGACCGCAGGAGGTCAAGCAGCCGCCTCATTTTAGGAATTGGAACACAGAGACCCAGAAAGAGGAAAGCTCGTGTGCAAGATTCTTTTGTTTACCAAATATTTGACCATCACCATGAAGAGCGTCAGGAGCTGGGATGCAGCAGGGACAAGGCGAAGGCCCTACTCTCGTGCAGCCTTAGTTCTGGAAAAAGATAAAATGGTGCAAAATCCCAGAAGAAAATAGAACAAAGTAACAGGGTAGGGAGTTCGAATGGCTGGTAGGGAAATTCCTGTCTGCAGAGGTGGCATTTAAGATTGAGCCTTGAGGCCAGGTGCTGTGGCTCATGCCTGGCCAGCACTTTGGGAGGCCAAGGTGGGTGGATCACGAGGTCATCAGTTCAAGACCAGCCTACGAAAAGTTAGCTGGGAGTGGTGGCGGGTGTCTGTAATCCCAGCTACTCGGGAGGCTAAGGCAGGAGAATCACTTGAACCTGGGAGGCAGAGGTTACAGTGATTGGAGATTGCACCACTGCACTCCAGCCTGGGCGACAGTGATAGACTCCATTTAAAAAAAAAAAAAAAAAAATTGAGCCTTGAAAAAGAGGGAGCTAGATTCTAAGGAAGAGGTAATGGCAAACGCTGTGAAGATTTAATTTGCTGTGGAAATTACAAACGTAGCAAAAGGATTACTACTCACTAAAAGAAATGTTGCTTTGTAAGAATAAATGGCCCTAATAAATTAACTAAATGCAACGCAGAATCTCAGTTTTCCACAAGACTGACTCTAGGCTTTTGGCTGGAATAGTTGGGCAGACAATGGGGCTGGAATGGTTAGACATCCTATTTATCAGGATGAGGGAGGCATAGGTTTGGCCAAGTGGGGATATCCCAGGAGTTCTGTGTTAGTGTGTTACATATGAATTACTTAGGATACCCCAGTTGAATTGTTGATAGTCTGTTGATTGAATATGGATCTAGAACACAGCTCAGGTCCAGAACAATACATTGAAGAGTCTTTAAAACGATAATTAAAGCCAGGGGCTTGACTGAGATCACTTACGGAGAGATGGTGTTCTCTTTGTTTTATTTATTATTTTTTTTTGTTTTGAGATGAGGTCTTGCCATGTTGCCCAGGCTGATCTCAGACTCTCAGGCTCCCTCCCAAGTAGCCAAGATTACAGGTGCAAGTCACCAGTGCTCAGTGATGGAGTTGTCTTTGAAACCAAGAGAAGAAAGTGTTTTAAGGAGGATGTGGGCAGCTGAGGAACATGCTGTTGAGAGACTGAGTAGAGAGAAGGAAGGGATGTGGCCATTGGGGTTGGTACATGGAGAGCGATGGGGACCTTGCCAGGCAGTGTCAGTGCTGTGATGGGGCAGAACCTTGCTGGTGTGGCAGGAGAGGAGGGGTGTTGAGGAGAGCCAGCCCTGCTGTTAGCCTTATAAGGAAAATTGGAAAAGTGAGGTGCAGAGAGTGTTCCAAGTAGGAAATAATGGAGCCCGGGCATGCATGCTCCAAGAAAGGGTTGGTGGAAAGTGACCACCTGATGGGGCAGAACAGAGGGCTCAATCCCAGGAACAATCTTAGATGCCTGAGGAATCTAGAAGGCACATACTGGAGGCACAGAGGCACGTGACAGCATCTGATAGGGCAGTGCCAGCAGCTGATCTATGTTATGCTAATCTTTTTAAAATTTTTTCCTACACAAAGTTGTTTTGCCAACGTATTTTAAATACTTCATAATTTTTCCCTTACATACTTTTTTTCTGAGACGGAGTTTCGCTCTTGTTGCGCAGGCTGGAGTGCAATGGCATGATCCTGGTTCACGGCAACCTCTGCCTCCCAGGTTCAGGCAATTCTCCCACCTCAGCCTCCCAAGTAGCTGGGACTACAGGCCTCTGCAACCACGCCTGGCTAATTTTTGGATTTTTAGTAGAGACAGGGTTTCATCATGTTGGTCAGGCTGGTCTCGAACTCCTGACCTCAGGTGATCTGCCTGCCTCGGCTTCTCAAAGTGCTGGGATTACAGGTGTGAGCCATTGTGCCCAGCCTCCCTCTACATTTATTCCATATATATTTATTTATATTTTCTTTAAATAACATGTTGCAGTTTTTAGAGTATAGGTTTTACATTTCTTTTGTTAAATCAATTCCTAAGTTTATTCTTTTTTTATTATGCTAAAAAAAAACCATCTAATTAGCCTGGTATGGTGGTATGTACCTGTAGTGCCAGCTACTTGTGGAGCTGAGGCCGGAGGATTGCTTGAGCCTGGGAAGTCAAGGCTGCAGTGAGCCATGTTTGTGCCACTGCACTCCAGCCTGCGTGACAAAGCAAGACTGAGTCTCAAACAACAAAAAAAAGCAACAAAAAACCTAACATGAAATGTGCCCTCATAACAGACTTTTATGTGTGCGCTGCAGTATTGTTAATTATATGAACATTGTTGTACAGTAGATCTCTAGAACTTTTTCCTCTAGCATGAAAAAGAAAACCACCACTCTTTTTTCTGCTTCTATGAGTTTTCCAACTTTAGCTTCCTCATATTAGTAGGAATCACGCAGTATCTGTCCTTCTGTGGCTGATTTATTTCACTTACTGTGATGCCCTAAAGCTCATCCATTTGGCTGGATTTCCTTCTTTTCTAAGGCTGCATAAAGTTTCATTGTATGTATATACCACGATTTCCTCATCCATTCATCCATCAGTGGATAGGAGGTGGTTTCTACCTCTTCGCTACTATGGATGGTGCTGCAATGAATGTGGGCATGCAATCTCAGTTCAAGATTCTGTTTCCTAATGTTTTTGGATGAATACCCGGAAGTTGGATTGCTGAGCCATATGGTAGTTCTATTTTTAATTTTTTGAAGATCCTTCATACT